TTTCATTTAGCTGTTCGGGTTGCTGATCGATAAATGAATAAAAACAATTATAGGAATCACATATATGCTTTATTTTAATAGTTCTTAAATATCCTTATGTAGAAACATATGTACTTACATTATGTACTGTAATACAAAGAGATAAAATACACACGCAACGCACGAAAAAACTGTGTTACTAACATAGAAAGTCTGTTATTTGAATTTGTTTCTGACAAACTTTTGTTCGGTAGTAAGAATTGTGTACAGCATTATAAATTCGCGACATCATTGTTTTCATAACATCATCCTCCAAGTTAGTCTGAACAAACACTTCGAGCGTTTCCGCAGCCTTCAGACACATTCGAAGTTGGGTAAATCTCCTCTGGCGCGTCATCATCACTGTCATTATCTTTGCTATTCGCGTCGTTGGCAATATATTTTCCACAACGTTTTCATCAGACGTTTGTTATGGGTAACTGATGCATATCAACAGCCCTAGCCCAAATGCTCAGTGGCACGTCGTCTTCTTCGTTGAAATCATCTGCGTTTGAAGATAGGCTACATTCTATATTGTTTCGCAATGCCTTATCCAACCGCTCATGAGTAGAAGTCCTTACACGTTTGCATTTTAAAACATTGGCATTGAACAGCGACTCGATCTAACCTTTAGTCTCTTTAATTGTGGATATTGTAGAATGGAATACGCCAAACTCCTTTGCGAGGGCTGCATTTGATTCACCGGCTTCTAATCGGTGTAATATTGCACTTTTTTTCTTCAATTACAAAACACTTTCGATTCACAGAATTCATTTTGTCGAACTTTATGAACAAGTGACAAAGACTTCATACTGGAACCTCTGGCGTAAAATCAATCTATTAATATCTGTTAGTAGTACCTATCAATAGAGGTACCTAAGAAGAGTGTAAGAGTACCTAAGAAGTGTAAACAAAACATTGCGCGACGTTTTAACCGGATGTATTAACATGAAAAACGGTTGCTTTAAGTGGTTGGTCGCCTAAATCGGAGTCGCACTAAACGGTATATTTTCTCAATAACTAAATATGAAAAATCAACACTGACATAAAAACTTGGCAAGTTGACTTGGGTGTCACACCAATAGGTGGTTCCACTTACGTTTCACTTGCGTTTACGCATCTATTTCTATTAAGTACTTTTCTGGTTTTTCACATTTTTTCTTCAATCGAGGACCGCCTGCCCGGTACTTACGATGCCCAATAGGCTGAAACAGCTGTCTACCGGTGGCTCTTAAATTGGAATCAATATGGGAATGATGGAGATCAAATACAACAGTTTTTTTCTGAATTTGCTTTTCTAGCTCAACTTAGATTTTTCAAATTATGACGGACAAGTGAATAGAACTGGCCGATACTTGATGGAAATCCATATTGAAACTCATTAGTACATTTAATTGTATTTGTTGGTTTCTTGAAACTTTTTACAGTGAAAATCATACAATAAATTCAATTAATGGGTTTTATAAATGGGTCTGTCAAATTTCTATTTTTATTAAAATAACATGGTGCCAGTCACGTGCCTTTTTTCACGTGTTGGTTATTCAGATGTTTTATTGTATAATGAAAAATAAGGAAGTTTCGGAATAGCATGTGTAATTTTGAATATTTTAGGCTCTGTTCAAAGTAGATGCCACGCGAGCTCACTGTTGACCATAAACAAGAACGTGGTGATGATTCTGAGCATTGTTTGGCCATGTTTAAATATAGCAACTCGGAATTTTTGCGTCGATATGTTGACAGTGGATGAAACACGGATTCACCACTTTACGTCGGAACCAAAATGATCGTCATTTGAGTGGAGAGCAACTGATGAACCTCGTCCAAAGCTCACGAAAGCACTATAATCGGCTGGCAAGGTTACGACCTCAGTATTTTGAGACTATCTTGACAAGGGAAGTACTATCAACAGTGAATATTATACAGCATTATTGGAACGTTTGAAGGCCGAATTGAACGTTGAATTGCTTTCACTGACAGTTTGCAGACCTCAAAAAAATGCTCGCCGGTGAGAAATTTCTTTCGAATGAAGTATTGCTTAGGCCTATTTTGAGGCGAAACATAAATCGTTCTATTGAATTGTTAGAGCGGCGCTGTAATGATCATGTGGCTCATGATGGAGATTACGTTGATTGATATATTCAATCAGAAGTGCACTATTTCTGACATACATCAGGCCCTTTATCAAATGATTTTATTACTGTGTGCATCAATTTTCTCCACTTCAGTGCTTGCCTCTGGTACAGACCTAAATTCAATTCCAGCAAGTATTTTTGATGGTGATGAATTGAGTTTTCAATTATATGAGAAGTACATTAATTCTGACACACATCAAGTTCCCTAGGGTGCTAATTTTATCACTTCCATATCAACTTCAAAGTGTTTTTCAGATAACCACAAAATAATATTAATTTTGGATTTGATTGTTTGTTGGAATTGAAAAAAAGGGTACCGTCGAGATGAGGATAATAATATTTACCACAAGTGGTAGTGGAGTTGCAAGAATTATCAGGAACAATTATATTCCGTAGAGCAGGATTAAGATTTTGCAAAATTGCTGTCTCTGACGCGCATTTCGCAACCTAGTCTAGGAGAGCATGGAGGCTCTTATAGGTTTTGGGAGATTCTTTCATGTAAGGACTATTGGTACGTCAGCCTGTATATCAGCACCGCGGTATTCAATATATCCAATTATTTTATTAGGTTTCTGGGAAAAAATCATCGAATAGGTTTACAAGTATCTGGAGATCTGCTACCTTCTCCATATCGATTGACCATTTGGAAGACAACATTCGCCGTGTTATTGCCGATATACGGCCACAAATGTTGGAAAAAGTCATCGAAAATTGGACGTCCAGATTGGACTACATCCGCGTCAGCCGTGGCGGTCATATGCCACGGTCATATCTTTCGGATAAATAAAATTCATGTCAATCGAATAATACATCGTTGTTTTATTGCAACTTAAAGTTCTATACTTCTATAAAAAACACGCTTTATAATCTTTCAAAGTTCATCATTTGCATGCTGCGAATTTAAACATTCGTATTCAAACTACATACGTATTGTAACATATATTAAAGCAACAATGAGCAACAATGTGGACAAACAAAAACATGTCTGGAAACTTGTAAGAGAAAAAACTGGTAAAATTAAAAGTAAGTCGAATATTGAAATGAAAATCGGTAGTGAAATTATTGATGATGGAAAATGGTTGCTGATAGTAGTTTTTCTGAACATTTTTCAAAAATTGCCAAACTTGCAATAGAACATAGTTTTGGAATTGATCATATTGAACCATGTACCAAGTGCAATTTGAATTTTAATAATTTCTTTTACTTTAACCCGGTTTGTAATGAAGAAACTGTACAAATTATAAAAAATTTGAAGAATTCAAATTCAGTAGGAGTTGACTGCATCTCAACAAAATTTGTCAAGAGCATAGCTTTGCAAATTGCTGAACCGCTCACAAATATAATAAATTCATCTATTGAATCGGGCGTATTTCCTGAAGAACTTAAACTTGGCATGGTAACTCCAATTTATAAAAAAGACGATCCTCTCTCAATGGATAACTATAGGTAAATGACTGTACCCAGCATTATAAGCAAAATAATCGAGAGAGCTATGTACAATAGATTGATACCTTACCTTGACAAACATAAAATAATTAAGGAGTCACAAAACGGGTTCTATCCTGGGAGATCTCCTGAGACAGTTATTTGTACATTTGTTGAGTATATCTATAAATATCTCGATAGAAAAAAACTTGTACGTGCTCTTTTTTTCGATCTCACGAAAGCTTTTGATTGCCTAGATCATACTAAAACCAAACTGTGCTCACTAGGAACTAGTGAAAATATATTGAAGTAGTTCATGTCATTTTTGAGGCACAGAAAAATTATTGTGAAACTCAATGGAGCACGATTTGAATTGCATAACATCAATCTAGGAGTACCACAAGGATCTATACTGGGTCCATTGATTTTCCTTATGTTCATCAATGATCTACCAGAGTATATGAATGCCGATTGCTTAGTATTATATGCCGATGATGTATCTGTTGCATTTCACAGTGAAAATGAATGTGCATTTGATGAGAAAGTTAACGAACTTCATTACAAATTCAGTAACTGGTGTGTCTCTAATCGATTAATACTCAACCACAACAAAACCATTCTTATGTAGTACTCTATAAAAAACAATAATGTGGTCCCGGAAATAAGTTTACGTAACAAGACCTTGATTACATCAGAATTTACGAAGTTTTTAGGCACGTTCTTACACTCCAATCTATCCTTCAGAAATTGTATCGATCATATCAGCAAGAAAGTAAATAGTGGGTATTATGCCATTCTGCAAATGAAGAACATCTTTAATAAGCTTCAACTTATCAATATTTACTATGCCCTCATATATCCCCATATATCCTATAATATAGTTGTCTGGGGTAATGTAGTATCATCTCAAAGATTGCTGATATCACAAAAGATAATAATACGCCTCATTTTCGGAATTTAACGTACATATTCATGCAAATCCTATTTTATAGAAAACAATATCCCCACTGGGCCATGTATATACATCATGAAAGCATTATTGGCAATTAAATTACAAATCTCTAACCTCCCGACAAATGGTGATAATCACAATTATAATACAAGATACGGTACTCGCTTGCAGATACGACAACATAGAACAACCCTGTTCGAAAATGCCCCTTTCTTTACAGGGGTTCTTTCTTTGAAGGAAAATTGCAATTTGAGATTTCATATGACCAACGCTATTTGAGAAAATGTAGTCTGACATAATTTTGAGAAAAAGCGTGCGCTAGGAGTCCATTGTTGATTTTTTCCAATCTTTCATTAAACAAAAGAATTTCAATAGTCCTTATCGTCGATGCTGCGAAAAATATATACATAGTATCTCAGCATATTTATTCAAGACTATATATAAATATGAGATTTAGAAGAACAATGGAAGGTACGAAATTCACTTTTGATGAAACGAAAAATGTCAAGTTAGTGTCATTTGAAATGTTGTGGTAACAACATGCGTTTGATACTTTACCTAGTGTTTACTGTGATCATTGAATTTGTGAGTATTTTTCAATAACTATCTAATATTTTGTATACAAAAACTCATTCTTAACTCTACCCAAGAAAAAATGACAGTGAGTTAGATTAAAGGTAATACTGGAACCTCTGGCGTACAAAAAATTCAAAACAAGCATTTTTCTCAATTCCCAGAAATGCAATACTATTCTCGACGCATAGAGGAGGTGGAATTTTCTTCACCACCCGAAGAAGCCAACCTGGTTGGTGAAAGCGCGCCGAGAAGAGTATTGCATTTCTGGTTATTTGGGAAAGTGATTGTTTTGAATCATAAACAATGTGAAAGATACAATAATCATCTTCAGATTCGTTTGAGTGATACTGAAGTTCAAAAAAAAACAAAAAAAATCGGTTCAGTTTTGGTATAGTTTATAGGCAGAGTGTCGAAACTGAATTTTTACATTGGTTTCACCATAAAAGGCTCATTTCTTGGTAAGATTTGTTCCCTCTTTCTTGACCGAGTAAGTATCACTTGAATTGCATTTCGAAAAATGAACCATTATCTATATATCATAAATTTTACGTTCCAAAGTTTGGTGTGCGATACCATTTTTTCTGTTTGGACTTTTTGGAGAAGTATTGTGTGACCCGATACCTTAGTTTTCTCTTATTCAACTTCTAGTGATGACATATCTCCAAGGACTGAGTTCAACGAATTTCGTGAAATTTATACAAAAACTGGGGTGTTTCAAAAATCAAAACCAAAAAAATTCTAGCAAATAGTTACCGGAAAAAAAACAGAAAATAAAATTGAGGACGTCAAAAATGAAAACAGTGAACTGTTGATTTCTGACGAATCAAAAGCAAATGCTTTCAACAAATATTTTTGTTTTCGCTCGCCAATAAAATACCAAAAACGTCACGAAGATATAATAGAACAAAGCTTTACCAAACTTTCTTTCTTAACCCTGTAGACGAGAAGGAAATATCAATCATAATTCAAGCACTAGATTCCAAGAAAACTCAGAAGTAGATGGAATAAGCACAAGTCATCCAACAAATCTCAAATGGAATTCTGTCACTTCTTACCCATCTTATAAATAACATATTTGCTACTAGCAAATGTCCGGGTGGATTCAAGAAAGCCGTAATTACACCAATCTACAAAAAAGGAGATGAAACATTATTATCGAATGACAGACCCATATCAGTAAGTAGCTGACTTGCGAAAATATTCGAGAAAGCACTCAAGAACAGAATAAATAACTTCTTAAACAAACATAAAATAATATCTAATAAACAATTTGGCTTTCGAGAGAAAATGTCAACAAATGATGCAATTGCCTACTCAACCAAAGAAGTATCCACGTCCTTAGACCAATCTACAAAAAAGGAGATGAAACATTATTATCGAATGACAGACCCATATCAGTAAGTAGCTGTCTTGCGAAAATATTCGAGAAAGCACTCAAGAACAGAATAAATAACTTCTTAAACAAACATAAAATAATATCTGATAAACAATTTGGCTTTCGAGAGAAAATGTCAACAAATGATGCAATTGCCTACTCAACCAAAGAAGTATCTATGTCCTTAGATAAAAGTTAGCCCAATTTGAGCGTGTTTTTGGATTTGGCCAAGGCGTTTGACACGGTTAGCCATGAGCAGTTGTTACAAACTTTGGACGATATAGGGTTACGAAGAGAACCGAACAAACTTCTCACTAGTTACCTTTCTCATAGAAGACAAGTAGTGAAAATTAACAATGTACTAAGTGAAGAAGAGATAATCAACTATGGCGTACCCCAAGGTACAGTTTTAGAACCGATAGTCTTCATCATTTATATAAATAACTTATTATTGTTAAACATGTCGATAGGAAACATCATCAGTTTCGCCGACGACACTGCTATCCTCTATATAGATCAAACATGGGACACATTGAAAAACAAAGTAGAAGCGGATCTGAAAATCATATTCAGTTGGTTCAATCAAACAATATTAATTGTCGATTTTGAAAAAACATTTTTCATTCCATTTGCCATTAATAAAAGCACACTACCCAATTTTGATAATTTGAACATAGAACGATAACGGAAATATGGAAGTAATACATTCGCGAAACGACATAAAATACTTAGGAGTAACAATAGATAAACACTTACGTTGGGATCTTCACATAACGAATATAACGAAGACATTAAGATGCTTATTATATAGATTCAGAAAATTGAAAAACATACTCGACATTACTTACCTAAAAATGATAAACTACGCTCTCGTTCAGTCAAGACTACAACACGTCATTCTCAGCTGGGCTGGTTCAGTTGAAACCCATTTGAATATCCCCCAAAAAAGAATTTGTAAATAATATATGGCAAAAAAAACAACTACTCCTCCAAGAAACAGGTTTGTTTCACATATTATACGTATAAGCTAAGCGCCTCAATTTCTCAGACAAACCGGGAACATTAGGTATGATGTTAGTTGTGAGATTTGTGTTTCTGTTGGATTTATCGTGATTGTGAGATCTGTATATATTGCGTAATGCTTTCACCAACTCCATTGAGAGCTCTTCCCACACACTGCTTCGGATATGCATTTTGCTTCAGAAGTGTTTTAATGATAGTTATTTCCTCTTTCATATTTTGAACAGAATTGCAAAACTGTCTTTGTCCTATCATACAAGCATATAACTATACTTTTTTTGACGCTAGCGTGGTGATTATATTTATAGTGGAGGTATCTATTAGTATGAGTTTTTTTTCAATTAACACTCACGTCAAGAGTAGGTATTCATCGATATTTTATCCTAACATCGAGAAAAAGAAGTTGATTTGAACTTCCCTTTCTAATGTGATTTTTTTTGTTGGTTCTCTTGATTTCAAATAATTCAAGAAAACATTGATATCATCTGGGTTATGGCCCCAGATAGCAAATACTTCATCAGCTTATCTCCACCATGTCTTAAGACCATTCTGGTCTGGTCATTCTATTTAGGTCTCCCTAAAATGCTCGATGAAAATTTTACTCAGAATCGATGACAATGACAATGTCATTCCAAATTCTTGTTGAGGCTAAAAGTTCTCCATTACAATTTTTAAATTTTCCAGATTGTGGAAAGTGACAAAAACCTACGACAGGTCGATGAAAACTCTGATTTGCTCCACAAAAAATGACTTTTGTTCAACATATACTTATATATTGAAATAATTTTTGTAACGTTCATATATATTCTTGAGGAATCTATTGTATAGCGAAACACGTGTCATGGTTTGTGTAAAACCCTTTATAGTGAAAATCATTATATTAGACAATGGAAGTCCGAACTAATGAAATACTCTATGTGAAATTACCCATCAATGATTTTCTGTGCGGGCTAACTCAAATTTTGTGAAATGGCAATTGTGAACTAATCTACTTAGTCATTTTAAGGATAATCTTACTGCCTAGAACGAAAATTATTTGCACTGTACTACCGTTGATATCATCGTTCATCTTCAATAATCAAGTTTTGAGTTTTTTGTAAATCTCACACATGCCATTTTTCGTAGGGAGGGTATTCATCACAGTACCTTACCTCAGTACTATTTTACTAACTACTTTTAGAACGAATAAAAAAACCGAGGTATAAGTCAAATTTACGGGAACTGAGAGCAAGAATCAAACATTGAATCAATCACATTCAAATCGTCAAGATTTGACAGTGAAAATTGAATTGAAGTAATTAAATTTTTTTAACACGGCGCTTCAGTTTGATGAAACCTAAAAATATCAACAATGATGCTTTGTTTGTCGTATAAAATATTCCTTATCAGGACTATTGACTACCCAAATATTTTAACAGCTGATAAGAAGATAACAAATGGCGTTATGTCAATCAACCATCGTTGACATTTATGCATGCAGATCTTGGTAATTCAATTCTAACACTTGGAAGTCATGCCTAATATATCAATAAAATCTCAGGAATGCATGAACAACAATTTTTATTTATATAATTTTTTCGCCAAGTCCAGGCAGATGAGCAGATTTTTGCAAAATTTCATTGTAGAGCTATCAGATTCTTTGAATATTTAGTTTCATGATATTTCTTGATAAATCTTTCAGATGTAATTGAGACTGTTTAGTAGGGTAAAATTGTCTCTGAAAATACTTTTATAACTGAGAATTTTCGAGGGAGGTTAAATACGAGTATGTGGGAATTATATTAGATCCCAGATTGAGCTGGGACCAACAATAAGAAACTAGGCGCACCTTTGCATGTAGCTGACCAGATGTGATTTATTGGCCACACAATGGTAGTTCAACACATGATATCTTTGGTTTGGTGGTCAAAGATGAAAGAAGCGACAGCTATTGAAAAATTTAAAGTAGCTTGTAAGACAACGTTTGATGAAATCCCTTGATGGATGTACAAATATTCCGGAAATTTCAGAAATGGTCAATCTCAATAGACTTTTCCAGAAGTCTGGAAATCTTTTTACAGTACAGGTACTCAGTTTCCATTTGGGTACACCAAAACCGATATCAGTTTACTAGTTTAGTAATCCAATAATTTTTCTGAAAAAGGTTGGTTGAGTAACAGGATCAAATTTTGATCCATCTATGAATCAAAATCTTATGAGTTCTTCTCCCAGAAAATTGGGCCCTCTCTATTCGGGATTAGGACTGAATGAAGCCAGTAAACTGTTGGTGGTATCAGCTAGAAGATCAGTTCTAAAATGTAATGACTTTCAGTGTAAACCAGTAATTTGCTACGCTCCAAATGAGAATGTTTTGTGCAATAGGCAATATGCACAATTCTGTATGATATCCATCTGTTTAATCTGATTAATCTTTGTTTTCGTTAATCAGCTGTTGCCTCCATACGAACGACAACTCTCAGAAGTTGAGAAACTTGTGCGAGCTAAGGACTAACGACGTCTTACCTTTTAACGTGTGATTCCTAACACGGTTGCAGAATCATCCCAGCTTCAACCAGATAAATTCTCTCGAGAAAAATATCTGGTCGAGGCAGGAATCGAACCCACGGTCTTCCGA